CAGTTAAACCAATCATCTTGTTGCTTTCAAAGTTTAAAATCTGTTCCTTTCTCCCAGTGAGCACGTCAGTAATCCCTCGTCAAACATCACATCAGAAACTGCTCCCATTTCTGCATGTTTCAGCTTTTTAATTGTGCCTCTCTGTAAATTAGTCTCTCCTTACAAAATGCAAGATCTACATAAAGTAATAAATATGAGACTGGTTTGGATTCAGAAACACACACACGCAGCTGATGTTTTCTTTCAGAATCCTCTCCTTTCAATGCCGTGCGGTATCATTTATCATGGTTTCTGCAGTACAGCACATCACACTCGCCTCATTTTTTAACCACCACCCCTCACCCCCGCCAGCCTTACCTGTCTCCCAACACTCAGAGCTGCTCTCAGCCCTCTGTGGGGGTTCAGCATGTGTTAACATGACAGATTGAGCCCCAGTGGGAACCTTAATTGCATCATTTCATGGATGCGAGTCAGTGCTGTGGTCCGGGTGAGTAAACAAGCTCTGAATCCAGGAGCAGAGAGAGAGTGAGTAGGGGGGAGGAGAAGGAAGGGGTGTGGGGGGGTGATGGAAGGGTGATGGAGAGATGAATGAGCATGAATGCGAGAGCTGGTATAAAGAAGAAGAGGAAGTGCTTCAGGATGGGAAATTGGTGTAAATTACCGAGATACTGAGATGAATTGAAGAAGTGTGAAATATGAGATAGTGGGGGTGTGTAGAAGGCAAAAAAAAAAAATCTCTCAGCTAATAGGGCCTAACAAAAACACACAAAAAGCAACAGCCTTGCAAAACCACCCAAACCTCCTCCAAGGTGGTCGTCAAGTGAGCCCTGTTTTGTTATGTGATAAGCCGAGAGTTAAGTGAGGCAGAAGGAAAAGGCAGCAGCAGGCTGGTCGGAAAGTGTGTCTTCATTAGTAAGTGATCGGGGCCAGGGAATATAAGATTTCAGCTGCCTCGGTCGTACGTTTCAGCAGTAGTACTCACCGAGTCAGCCAAGAGTAAACACATGAGGTCACAGAATACACTACGCAATTAGGGGAGTGACAAAACCAGATATACAACCGGGGGATTTGACGTGCACACACATGTACACACACAGGTACGGACTCAGTGAAACAAGCATCACACATGTTTACACAGTCCAGATCCAATATTCTCACATGAATCAATATGTTGGAACCTGGAGGCCACGATTTATACTGAAAATCACAGGAGACCAGTGCCAATGTGGACAAACACAGATGTTAATTCACAACAATAATCAGCGCAGCTCCCCAGCTATAGGGTCCCTCCCTGTCAAACATGACTTCATATGTTAACGCGTGACATCAAGCTCAGCCAAATGTACAGCATGCTGTACATTTAACCATGATGTTGTGGTACGGTGGTGAAGTGGTAACAGTTAGATCATAGTGGAAACAGTTATTCATGGTGCAGGGAGAGTCAAACCAGACTTGAAGAGATGTCACAATCGTGGTGAGGATGGGGAGACGTTTCCAGAAAAGTGTCGTGGGAGGACATGTGTGGTATCAGAAAAATGAAGTCGCTGGAGTCAACAGTGAGAATAATGGATTATAACGTGGGTTTGATGAAGTAGCAGTGCCTTCAGGGAAAATTTTGGGAAAAATGACATATTTTTCTTTGTTGTTAAAGAAAATACCTTAAAACATGGTGGTCTGCGCGTAAGTTTATTTAGATCTACAAGTTTTATTAAAAGGACTGGCCTTTTTTTCTGCAAAAATGATTTACACCACTTTTTATAAAACTTGGAAAATGCCATTAAGCAATTAGGTCATTAAAACACATATTTCACACCAACTCCAGACCTTTCAAGTTTTCGTGCATGTCTGGGTAGAAATATATATGGCTTTTCCACTGCACAAGTCACCGTACTGTACCTGCACTGTGTTGTGTTTTACCTCCACGTGCACACTGCAGTTTGGATATATAAACCTCACAGTCACAAGGGCACCTAAATATTCACTTAATGCTGTTGAACTCACAGTCCTCTCCTACACAAACAGTGCTACACCCGGATAGCACTGCCTTGAAAAAAAGATTTAGATTCATTCAGCAAATATGGTGCCACGTTTTGTTCCCTTTCGCAATAAATTAGTGGGGAAAAGTACTTGCAAAACCATCAGCTCCTCCCACTTCGTAGCTCTACTTAGATCCTGTGGCCGGCAGGCATTTAATAGTCACATGTGTTCAGTAACTATCACTGTACAAGGCACGAGAAAGATGTTGTCCCGAAACAAAGCAGCTATTGGATATCTATTGAATCTCCCACAGGATGCAATACGTCACTACAGAATTAAAACACAAGTGAATACAGAAAAACAAATTGTTCACTTTCCTCTGATCGAGCAGTAAACAAATGACGTGTCTCTTTTTAAAGCCAAGGGCTATTGTTCTTTCCTGTTTTTTCCTGTCTCCTCCTGCTACCCTATAAGTATTGCTTGTGCTGACTCTTTCACTCATGTATACAATATTATAGCATGCACTTCCAGCCATCTCAGTCCTACAAATATTTGGTATACAGGCTCCTCATGTTTATTCGAAGTACTGGGTTACACTGTTTGGGAAAGATAGCCAGACAAGAGCCCTTTGGGAAGGAAAATGAAAACTATTCCAAATGAAAAGTAATGATTCATGCCGCAGATAGTGTATAAACTCAAATATACGCTGGAACTCACAGCACTATTGGACAGTTCCACTTTATGCAATTTTGATTGGATCCGAACAGTGCATAGACAACTTAGTATTGCATTACTCTAAATATGGCAGTGTGTGCACTTGTGTGGATGTGTGAGTGAGACCAGAGTGAGGTGGGTGGTCTCCACTCACTATCAGTATACAATACAAAGCCTCAATGGTATTTTGAGAAGGAAATTAATATTGCCATCAGCAGTGGCTCTTGCGTGTGTGCCTCCATGCGTGAGCGTGTTTTGCGTACTTCTGAAAAAACAGAGCGGAGAATTTCCACTTCAAATGAGGACATTTTTTTCAGGCTGAACTTTGAGCGATGCCATGACGCTGCATGACGACATAGCAGCCACCTCCGCTCTCTCCTCACTGTCAACTCCGCAGGCAGCTTTTCCATTCAAGCAGAAGTTAAAGGAAAACCCTGGGCCTGTTGCCACATTGGCCCAAGTTTAAATTAAACATTTTCTCAACATCCTTCTCTTTTTACCTGGCTGGAGAACAAACCATCAGTGGAAATGTTGCAGCTGACTTACCAAAAATGAGACCATTCTCGCTATGGGTCCGCAACCACGAACAGGGTTCTTATACATTAAATTACCATCCCATGGAGACAGATTACGCCTCGACTAAAATTTTAGGTAAAGTTTTGTTTTACGGCTCTGTAATTTCTCAATATTTCCTCATACTCAAGTTAGAGAAAAGGTCAATTGCTTTTTTTTTTATTCTTTTGTTGGTGTTGCCCTTTTTTTATATAGATATCATATAGTGAGAGTATAAAGACAGACATGTTTCAGACACAGTACACGTTTGGATAATACACTTTTTTAGCTTTCTTGCTGAGAGTTAGAGGAGGAGACCAATACTATTCTCCCACCTGTATGATAAATATATACATCGTCATCTAGCGACCGTTTAGCTTAGCTCAAAACGACGGCAAACAGGGATAAACGGCTATCCTGCACCTGACCAAGACAAAGGAAATAATCCACCCCAGTGCTTTCAAAGCTCAATAATAAACATGTTACATTGTATAATACTATTAAACTATATTTTTTGTAAAAATGACAAATTGTGTTATGTTCTGGACTATGTTTTGGCCTGGAGCAGTGACTTCCTGGAGTGTCCTCTTGCTGGCAACTTCACTGTGACAACAAGATTTTACAAAAACCGAAGTAAACAAACAAGATAAAACATGTTAATCAGTGAGTTTAAGAGGTCTTAGTAGGCAGATTTTTATCATATATTTTTTTAACCTTTGGACAGAGCCAGAATAAAGTTTCCCCTGTCTAGTCTTTATGCTCAGCTAAACTAAGATAAAAGTGGTATTGATCTTCTCATCTTACTTTCTGTGAGAAAGCAAAGAAGCACATTTCTCAAAATGGTGAGCTATTCCTTACTCAAGGACTTCTCCTAAATGTTGATTTCAAAGTTGGGACTGAAAGTTGATTCTTTGTTTTGAAAACAGCAGTTGACAAATCAATCTCGCCACGAGCTTCACTATTAGCTGTTCCGCAGCTTTCGATCATATCACATGATCTTTCTTAGCAGATGTAGATGTTGCCCAGTTTAGATAAGCCCACAAAGAAGCATAACAATTTTAAAATTTAACATCTACATTTCCATCACAGCTGGGCAACTGCTGATGAAGGTCATACGATACTATCAAAAGCTCCACAGCAGCTAATAGTGAGCCTGGTGGTGCGACTGTTTTATTAACAATTAAACGTATATGGAGAAATGTTATATGAATTTACTTTTTTTCCAAGGAAATTTCTAATTTTACAATAATTAAAGTAGCATGAAATTGCATCAGAAATTATTAGGAAATCTTAACTTTACCATATTTTACTAAATACCAAAAACAAAGAGAGACACATATTTCCGACATGCTATAAATTTTAATAGACATATTGATATTTCTGTAGAGAAACAAAGTTATCCCTAGTTTTATTTACAATACAGGAATACAAAAAGAATTGTCACATACAGTACAATGGTAAAAACAACATAAAAGAACTTAAATAATTATTTTATTTGTGTAACTACTTAAATAATGAAAATGGTTATTCTATTCACACCACGCCGTCTCAGCAGCTACAATGCAACTTTCACATTAAGTGCTAAAAGAAATGATAATTTTCCATTTTACAGCATGAATTCCATTTTGACCAGGTAGTTGATTTATTTCAGCAAACACAAGCGAGTCGGGAGATGAGGAACAAATACATCTTTAACGGACACTGAACTTCAATTAACCGGGATACTTGGAAACTTGTTTTTCAAAATGAAAGTTGGGGGGAGAGCAAAACTGCAAATGTTTGCTTTCAAAACCGTTAAACACAATGCCATGATGGTTCTGTCAAGACTCCTACTATGAATTCAAATGACAAAAGTTCAAAGGTGGAGTTTATGGAGAATATGGGAAAGAATGTATGTGTGCTGCATCTGTATGAACTTCTGTCTGGCATCTGAAAAGACACAACACATTAATGTGGCTCCAGACCATCCCAGTCTGTGTTCAACTGTTTGACCAGAAGCAGGAGTCAGATGTTCATTAGACGTTCAATCGACATTATCTCCACGAGACAGATCATTAGTGTAATCTTAAATCTGCTCTCCGCAGAGAAGATCTGCGTCTGACCGTGAACTGCTTCCACAAAGACTTGGTGGCCTGACGTGCCGTTTGATCATCTGACAACAGAGACACATTTCTGACAGTGGTAGTGAAACCAGATGAATTAGATGGACTCCGCCAACTGCTCCGAATTACTCTCTGCAGGCACAGACATGCATTACTTTTACAGTAGGGGGGGGGGGGGGGGGGGGGAGTAGAAACAAATAAAATACTTGTCCTCACGTGTCTTTCTTAACAGAGGAAAAAGCTGCATATGTATAAGTACAAGAACATGAAATGACATGAACTGACAAGCTTAGTGTAAAACTGCTTTCTATAAACACCATTCTCTCCCATATATTATTACGCTTAAAAAAATAAACCCTCCTCTATGATAACAATAGTAATGCTATAGTTTTTTTTTTTTTTGTTTTTTTGCAATGCTAAGTAGTACTTAGGTAAGCTCTATTGGAAATATACATCACTGCGCTATCTCTTCCCTTTATAGTTTTGAGTTCGGGTTCAATTTCAGTGTGTGACGCCATGAAAGGAGTTTGATAAATGATAACCGTGATAGTGTGGTGTGTAAATGTGGATGTTAAACTACTCTCATTGCGCTTTTAATAAATGTTTTAATTCATTTTGAATAATAAAGTGAAACAAAAAAATGAATACAGTGCATGAGAGCCAGAAACTCTGTTCAGATTGTATGAAACTGGCTTTGACAAAACGTTCTCACTTAGTCGTTCTTATTTCTGTGTCGGTGACAGTCCTCTGTTGTAGATCCACTCTGTACATTGATAGCAAGTGAATGTTGCAAAACAAAGTATACACACTGTATACTGTTATAGCTTTTTTTTATGACAATGTGCCCACAAACTAAATACAACATCTTAAGTGAGACGACACGGTTCATCTCTCTTGTATTAGTGCCTTTTAAATAGTATAGCACAAAGCACTGCAGGCTCTATAGGACCCACGACTCTCATAGACTTCAGAGGTGCAGAGTGTTCCTTCAAAGTCTGTGTATCTGGACATTTATTTTGAATGGACCATGAGCATAAATTGGATCTGGAGCCACTCTGCTCCTTAAAATTTTGAACCCTTAAAGAACCCCTGAACAATCAACTGTCTCCGCTGAAACGCCTCAAACTCCATTTTTCGAGGGGTCTTAATAAAGCAACAGATGGCCCCTGAAGAGATCCAAAGTCTTGGGTTAAAATGGTCTGTTCCTGTGGAGTCAGCCGTGAGTGAGCATTTTCTGAACGAGACAGGAAATGTCATAGTGGATCTTCCATAACTTGGCCATGCTTATCAATCATCTCCTCTGCTGTCTGCAGGTCTCTCCGAAGTGTGAACACGGCTTGGATGCCAGGCCTGGTGCTCAAGAGCATGTAGCTTATAGGCAAAAGAGGATGAGTCTGGTATGGTGAAGAAGACAAGGATGTAAAGCAGTCTGATGGGGATCCTGTGTGTATTTATGTGTCTGTGTGTGTGTGTGTGTGTGTGTACACATGCCTGTGTGGGTGTGAGGGAGATTAAGAGGCCATATTAAAGACACCTCGTTAAGAGTCTGCTGGTGGTGGTAGGTAGATTTGTGTCGACTTGAGGATGAGAGCGGGGAGAAGCCCCCCTCTGCGCATCCCTATACGATATAGCTGGTCAGGTCTAGGAGGTACGAGGTCATGTCAATGATGTGGTCGAGTATGCCGTCTTTCTCCTGGTCGTTGGGCATGCCATGCTCACTCTTCTCACACTGGGCCCCAGAGTAGCCGCTCTTACACAGGCACTTGTTGGGCTCCATACACACTCCTCCATTGCGGCAGGCTGGTTCACACTTGGCTGGAGAGAGCAGAAAACACCAGTGGTCAACAGTTAGGTCAGAAAAGATGAGAAAAAAACAGAAGCCGGTGCTCTGTTTCATTCTGAATTTAAAATCAAATACATTTTTGAATATCGTGGCAGGCATGTTGTGCATTAATGAACCCCGTTGAAACATCTGTAAAGGAACAACACATGGATGTTTGTCGACATAACAATCTACTTAAAGGCACTCACCAATTCGGCAGAAGGGTCCCTCCCAGCCGGGGCTGCAGCAGCACTTGCCAGTAGGAGTGCAGTGTCCGTTCTTACAGTGTCTGGAACAAGCTGTCATCAGCAGCTCTGGAGGCTCCACCTGACGCTGGCACTCTTTCGGGGCATGAGGTCTGTAACAGTTGTTAGAAGGAGGGAAAGTCAATATGTGGGCGACACAAGCGTCACATGGCATGCTAACAAATTACAGAAAGTAGGGCGAGGCATTCATTTTATACTATATTTAAATAAAGTCACACCTTGATAACATAATGATATACTTTGTAATTGTGACACAAAAGCAATCCCTCAATCAAAGCCATTCAGGGAACATCATTTGTCAACATTGGTTTCAAGACAATTTCATTAACACAATCTAAAATGTTGGCAGTGACATTAAATTACATTCAACTTCATTGTTGTAGTACTGTACTGGGGCAACGAAATTAAGTTTCACTTCAGGAACCTTTAGATCTTCAGTCTAACATTCACCCAACTGAGATATTTTGGCTTGTAGACACAATACAAATAGGGGGTATATGATAACAGAATTTTAGGAATGCTTAGACATCTCACAGTAATTCCCAACTCCTGTAATTGAGATCTAAAATATTGTAGGTTATCATTCAAGCAGTCTACTAGGGAGGGAGTACAAAACATTAACATTTGTTCCCTCTAAGTTAAGGGTTAAGTCTTGCCCTCTTTATTTAGATCAAGTTAAATGTTGAGCCTACATCCAATAATCACACAATGACATATTTGATGTTGAGTCACGCCACTCTTTACAATCCTGAATCCTCAAAGAACCCCTAAACAATGTACCGCCTCCGCTGGAATACCTCAACATTTTATTTTGGGAACAGATGAATCCAATAATAATGTCTGTTCTGAAAATAATTATAGCCGTAAACAGGGTCCTATTGATTTATCAAAGGCAAGCAAAGTGCGGTGTCAAGGTGTGCATTTATACAGTCACTCCATGTTTTCCTTCTTCTTATGTCTGCTTTTAGGTACACTACGTCTACAAGTCTGTTATGAAGTTAGACGAGCCTTACAACAACAAACATCAGTTCTTATTTTCCAGACCACCACAGTTTCCACAGTTGCGTGCAAAATGAATCACTTTTCTTTAAAAAGCCTGCTAAGACACAAACAAAGAGCAGGGACGGGGCAAAACAAAACCCTCATTAAACTCTTACTGGCTGAGTTACACAGTAATACTATGATACTATGATTTATGGCAGTACTGTACGAAACATGTTCTATTTATACATCCATCACTTCATTTTGATGTATCATGACAGCTGTAGCAATGTGTTTACTGTAAAGCTATTTTTGAATGTTACAACAGGAAGGATCAACACATCTGCCATCACATGTTGTGTCTATGATCTCAGATGATCGGCAGGGCCTTCAGCATTTGTTGAGATGATGCACATTCAAAAGTATGCATTTAACATCTGTAGCAAGATAAATATACATGTATATATATGTCAATACATTTTCATTCATCATTCATGTGTTGACGGCTTTTCTGTATGTTCTCAATTTGTGAATCCACTGTCGAAGATGGATGTAAACCGTACAGCAGGAAGAATAACTGTGTCAAGTGTGGTGCGTTTATTGTTTAGACTTGTTTTCCATAAATTCTCCATACTTGAAGAACAAAACAACGCATACATGCAGGGTTAACACAGGGCTCTTGACGGTATAAACATCATTTGGAAAAAAAGACGTACACAAACACAAACATCTCTACACCATATGTGTCAAGTCTGAACACCAAAGAGACATATTGTGATCATTCCACATTAAGACAAACATCCAGACACGCACATCAGCAAATGGGCTGAAACTGATTTATTTCATATCACACTCTACAAATCTGGAAATAATACAGTGCGTAATCACGTTCGAATGTGAAGCGTCTGTTAGTGCCTGTTGCCCACACACATTTGTCTGTGTGTGCATTTGTAAAAGAGAGACAGGGAGAACTATGGATGTGTAAACAGTTCTGCTGTACTGAGGTAAAAAGCTATTGAGGCAACACAATTTGCTGAGGGAAGGACACACACTCATACACACAGACTGGGTAACTGGACTCCTGTAGACTAATGCTTCTATGAGGGCTGAAGAGCATCAGAAGTGAGGTCAGTGTGTATATATGTAATGCTTCGTCCATGGGAGAGCAGACCTCATCAATCATGGCTGGAGAGCAAATGGTCAATCAGCATTAGCAACCAAGACTAGATGGAGTTCAGGACCTACAACCAGGGTCATCATTTTGTATATTAAATCGGAAAGCAGCAATGTTTAAAATGTACGGTATTACAGACATAGCTAACTGTGCATTCACTCTGACAGCTCTCAGTATTCTGCAGTCAGGGAATTTTAATCGAGTTTGTTGAGTCACACCTGTCCTGACCTTCAGTAGTTGGGTAAATATAATATTTGTTTTACCTATTGTACAGGAATTACTGTGTGGGAAGACACATGTTTCAGCTTTAAATAGAGTCTGTCAGTTGTTAGACAAATGACTGCAACTACAATGCTGTGTGGTGATAACTGTATTTATTTGACTGTGCTAGTGTTTACTTCCTAGTTTAAAAAATGTGTTGCAAATGTTCTGACAGACACACTGACTCAATGGCACTGTGCAGTGACAATACTGTGACTGTGTGAGTTTAGGTTGCTTTAAATTTGGATGATGGAGGGGGGGGAGGGGGGGGGTTGATTCCCATGCTCCCATCAGCATCCAACTCCAGACTCCATCCGTGCTGGCTTTTGTTGTTGCAGGCTGCATGCAGTTAAAAAAGAGCGAAGGAGGGAAGCAAACAGAAAGAGAGGGAGAGAGAGAAAGAGTAAGAGTCCCTGGAGGATTGGGGGGTGTGTAGCTAACACTGTTAATAGCAGGCAGGGGTCAGCAGCGCTACTAAACAGTCTGTACGACTGCCAGGGTGGCTGTGAAAACAGCACCTGCTGGTAGCGCCACTTGACAAAGGCAGCTGGGTCAACAGCCACTGTGGGAATTTATCAACTTTGGGAGGGGTGGTGTATGTGTGAGAGCAAGGGAGTGGGAGAAGGGTGACAGTGCTCGCACATGAGGTAGTTACATGGACAGAGAGAGAGAGAGAGAGAGAGAGAGAGAGAGAGAGAGAGAGAG